CTGTATACTCTCATGGATTTTCACTACCAGCAGCTCTCAATAAGCAAAGGAGCCCTAAGTGTGTCCCCACAGCCTCTGTGGAAATATATGACATAGCAACATGTCTGAAAGCCACAAACAGGAAACAGAACAAAGGGCCTCCATGGAAGAACAAATATACTTCTGTGGCAGCCCCAGGCCCAGCTTCCTAGACCTTCCTGAAGAGATACAAGCTCAAGAGGGCAGGCTAGACCTTTGCTCAGGATGGCCCCTGAGTCTACACTGCTGCCCCTGCTGCCCCTGGACCCTAGTCCTGCAGAGCACAAGGCCTGTCCACAGGCAGTGCTTTTTGTAAAGGGATCTATTACTGTCATTACTCCGGAGACTACCACAGTGGTATATCCAGCAGCAAAAACCCACTGGGGACTTTTGGACTCCAGCCGACACCACACACCCAAACAACAGGCAGGCTAGGGGAGCTGACACCTAAAAATGTGTATCTGAATCTTGACCATTGAGGCACATTGGTTGACACCAGCACACACACACCATTTCCCACTAACCACAGAGTCCTCATAGCTCCCAACAGCCTCTCTCAAAGTCCAGGGACATCATCAGAAGCCACTCAGCTCTGCTCCTGGACCTATAGCTCCTTCCTATAGGAACAGCCCTAGAGAGCTTCATCTCACACCTGGAAACACTCCAAGCTAAACTCAGACATCCTTAAACTACCAATCAGAAAACCTTGATCTGGCCATCCTGACCTAGCACCCACATGACAAAGATGAGCACATCACAGCCTCAACAGGGGGTCCTCGGGCACTTGAGGACCACAGGGAGCCTGTCCTTGTTTTTACCTGAATCCATGCAAGACTAATGGGAGCAGAGTACTGAAGCTGGGACTGACTTCAGCCACATAGGAGCTCCCCATATCCTGGTAGGGAATACAAAGGGCAGAATGATCTCCCAGCTTACTGCTCACCCGAGAAAGATTCTATACATCATTGTTGGAGCATTAAGAATCTGTCAGGGACAGAATGCCAGTGGGAACAACCCTGAGACTCCATATTCAGTAGTCCTGTCTCACCCTTCTCTGGAGTGACACTTCCCACTGTAAACTCCACTTCCTTAAGGTCCCAAAACATGGGAGAAGTCTTATCAAAATCTGCCCTTCTGGCCTATGCTCTGAACAAGATGGGCAATCTGGTCTCATTGAAAGCACAGTGCAATGTGTATGCCAGTGAATCCTCTACCAGTAACTCACATGCTCAATCCTTCCTCATCACCACACAATAGTAATTTTAAGAGTTACTGTAGACATAACTAAAGATAGTCTGTAGGTTATGCTGAAAGACAGACCTGCAGACATTGTACAGAATGTAGAGGTCAGAATCAGCAAGCAGAACATGCCTGACTGGAGAACAAAGACACAGCTGAAGAAGAGCTGCCAGGCATTGCTGCTGGGCACCAGGAACCACTCCTACATCAACAAGTAACTAATAATAGGTCCAGCCTATATTTTTGCTCCCAGGGTCCGTGGAAGAGTCTAACTACAAGCCTAGGATTCTACTCTGCAGGTTATTCAGTGAATCTAAGCACACTGAGTTCTTTAGTCCATTCACTTTATTCTTCTAGGTCAATTCTATCTACACAGTTTCTTTTCTGCTCTCTTACTTAGCTCCTCTCAGTCCCTCCTGCTCTCATCCCTTCTGCTGTTCTCTCCTCTCTACCTAGTTCTTTCCATCTCTGTCCTCATCTTTGTTCTTCTCCATCCATCCTCCTCGGGCTCTCAGAGAACCAGTATATACACACACAGTAATTCTTTGGTAAAGCAATGCTTGGCTTAAGGTTATCAGGGTCACAGAAAGAGGTGATTAGGATCCACACATAAAGAAATAATTGTCAGCTTCTAATTACAACCCAAATTGGGAATGACTGAAGGGGAGTTCTCTGGTTGGATTGACTAAAGGTTAATCAATTAGGGAATTTATGTGCTCAAACTATAATCTAGAAATGTCTAGGTAGAATGTTAGGGGTCAATAAGTCACAAGAAAGTAAACTGTCTTTGGCCCCCTTTTCCCACTCCTCCTGGCTGCAGCTGCTTTCTGATAGGAAGGGGGCATATGCTAGGTGGCTAAGCAACCTATGGCAGAGCAAGTAGCATTTGGTTAGTAAAAGCACTTTTGCTCAGAGTATTTGCTGAGCAGAAAATCTAGAAAAAACACCTGGCTGAGGAGGAATAAAAACACACTTTGCACAAGAAAGAAGGTTGGCACCTATGACCTGCCTGGCCTTGTAGGCAGTCTCCTTGGGTCAGTGGGAAGTAACTCCCTTAACTCAGTAACTAACAAATGGATAAAACATCATCCCAGGAATGTGAGCAGTAAATCGCTTAAATTAGAGCCTTGCATAAATAATCCAGGGTGAAGGTAAGGAGTTGAGGATTTAATTGTTAGTGGTTCTTTTCTCTACCTGTGAGTGAGATGAGCTAATATTTATTTCTCTGCATTTGTCCTTGGAAAAAGGTATCTTGCCAGGTGGTGGTGCTGCATGCCTTTAATCCCAGGACTGGGGAGGCAGAGGCAGGTGATTCTCTGTGAGTTTGAGGCCAGCCTGGTCTACAGAGCAATATACAGAAAAGGTGCAAAGCTACAAAGAGAAACCCTGTCTCGAAATGTCCCAGCCATCGGGATCTTCAGCAGAGACCCAAGAAGGGGGAATGGTGAATGAAAGGGACAAGAGACACACAGAATTGACAGCAAGACAGTATTCTGATCAAGCTGCAAAATTTTATTTTGCTCAGGTGGATTTTATAAAAGGAGACCAGAAAACTTTCTTGGGAAAAGATCAGGGGACTGTTGAGTTGCCAAGCAACCCAAACAAGCAACATAACCACAAAACATTGTTACTAATGGTCACTGTAGCAGAAAGATAAGAAAATGTTGTTTTCTAAAAACTCAGGACTTGTTCAGGCATGTCAAAAGTTTCTGGTTAGTATCTCAATACTGGACAACAGAAACTTAACTCAGGCAGGCAATATGGCATGGCTCTTAAAATTGTCCTCTGCATCTCCTCTCTTTATTTTATTTTATGAGGGAGTGTGCCCACCTGAACGTTGGTGAACCTTAACAGACTGGTTGAGACATTGACCTGACTTCTCCTATACCCGCTGCAGTCTTGAAAAAAGCATAACTTTTGGGGAGGAGAGAGCTTAGGCGTTTGGTGCCTCTAGATACCAACCTCTATGCAAGTCAGGTTTGTCTCTCAGGGAATCTGAACCAAGGGCTATTAAATCAGCCTTCCCCTGCAGTGCTTGGCCTTGCACCCAGGGGTGTCCATACCGGCTGATGCCAGTAACCATAGGTTCAGACTTTATGCTGCTTGCAAAGGAGAAGAGGGCTGAGAAATAGCATAGGGATCACATCCTCAACCCAACATTTCGATCCGATGGTAATGAACCTGTATAGGTTTTGATGCCAGGGAGTCTATTTGTTTTTTGATGAATTGGATTAGCCTGCCAATTATAAAGGGACCCAAAGTTACAAATAACAAAAGGCTGACTAATGGTCCTGCAAGAGGCATTAAAAGGGAGAAATGGATGATCTCCACCAATCATCTGCTGCGGCAGAGTATTGCTGCTTATGTAGCTAGGCTAAGTTTATGTAGCTTATTTATCTGGGTTTCTACCATTCCAGACTCATTAATATAATAACAACATTCTTTCCTCAGAAAAGGCATGTCCCACCCTTTTCTGCTGTCAGCCTCTGGAGGGAGGATAAGGATGCTGCAGAAGCCTCAATTGCTACCTGAAGTTGCTTGGATAGGTGAGCTGTTGTTATGAGGGAATGACCCAGAACTTCTCCCGCCAAGCCTGCAGGAACCAGAGAGGTGGTAAGGGAAATTCCAGCCACAAGGGTCAAGAAGACAGCTCTTTTTTGCTTGGGTTGGGGGGTGTCCCATCCCAAGAACTCTGCTGGGGTCCTGAGCATAAGTTGTGGGACCAGAGAGACAAGTAGGCAGAGCATGTCCATGGGATAGGGATGGTCAAATTTTTTGATAGAGTGCCATTGCACCAAAAGAAAAATGGGGGAGGGGGTGGCAAAAGGATGATTGGGTAATTCGGTCTGCTTGCAAAAGGGAAGGGAAACACTAGAAAAGCAAAAATCACGCCGGGCGGTGGTGGCGCACGCCTTTAATCCCAGCACTCGGGAGGCAGAGCCAGGTGGATCTCTGTGAGTTCGAGG